AATAATGATAATAATGATGAAATCATAATTATAATGATAATGTTGATAATTACTTCAATAATAGCAATAATCGAATCTATTTCAATATTTTTCAGACTGATAATGACAATAGAAATAATAATAACATGATTATTATTGTCATTAAAATCATTACTATTGTCATTATTATTTCAAAAATTATCATTATTGCTATTATCATTACAAAAATAGTTACATGATGAAAATAGCTATAATAATACGCATAATAATCATCATAACCGCAGTAATAATAATAATAATAATGATAATCATGATGATAATGACTATAATGATAATAATCATAAGAAATAATGACAGTTATGATAATAATGATGATATAATTATTATCCAATCCATTTATAATTAAATAAAGGCCAAAAGTAATAAAATCCCACGAAATAACGGCAAAATCTACACTATTACAGCCGTTTGAGAGAAACGTCGAAAAAAACCTTTTTCGTTTTTTATTGGTAATTATGAGGATTTTAACATTACTTCAGGTAATTGTGAGGATTTTCCTGATAATTCCTTCATTATATGCAATAATGATGATAATTATGATGATAATGACAATGATAATGACAATAATAATGATGATAATAATAAAATCCTAATTATAGTGATAATTTTGATAATTACTGCAATAATAGCAATAACCAACTCTATTCCAAAAAATTTCAGACTAATAATGACAATAGAAATAATAATAACATATTATCATTGTCATTATAATTATTACTATTATCATTATTATTTCTAAAATTATCATTATTGCTATTATCATTATAATAATAGTTATGATGATGAAAAATGCTATAATAATTAGCATAATAATCATTATAACTACAATAATGATGATAATAATTATGATAATCATGATAATAATGACTATAATGATAATAATCATAAGAATAATGACAGTAATGATAATAATGATAATAATAATTATCATCCAGTCCATTTATAATGAAATATAGGCCAAAAGTAATAAAATCCCAGAAGTCGAAATAACGGCAAAATCTAGCGTATTACAGCCTTTTCAGAGAAACGTCGAAAAAAAACCTTTTCGCTTTTTATTGGTAATTATTAGGATTTTAAAATTAATTCAGGTAATTGTGATGATTTTCATGATAATTCCTTCACTATATGCAATAATGATGATAATTATGATGATACTGACAATGATAATGACAATAATAATGATAAATAATGATAAAATCATAATTATAATGATAATTTTGATAATTACAGCAATAATAGCAATAATCAACTCTATTTCAATAATTTTCAGACTAATAATGACAATAGAAATAATAATATCATTATCATTGTCATTTTAATTATTACTATTGTCATTATTATTTTTAAAATTATCATTATTGCTATTATCATTATATAAAAAGTTATGATGATGAAAATAGCTATAATAATTAGCATACTAATCATTATAACTGCAATAATGATGATAATAAACGTCGAAAAAAACTTTTTTTCGCTTTTCATTGGAAATTATGACGATTTTAACATTAATTCAGGTAATTGTGATTATTTTTATGATTCCTTCATTATATACAGTAATGATGATAATCATAAATAATAATGACAATGATAATGACAATAACAATGATGATAATTATAAATAATAATGACAATGATATGACAATAATAATGATAATAATGATAAAATCATAATTATAATGATTATTTTGATAATTACTGCAATGATGGCAATAATCAACTCTATTCCAATAATTTTCAGACTGATAATGACAATAGAGATAATAATAACATGATTATCATTGTCATTATAATTATTACTATTTTCATTATTATTTCTAAAATTATCATTATTGCTATTATCATTATAAAAATAGTTATGATGATGAAAATAGGTATAATAATTAGCATAATAATCATTATAACTGCAATAATGATGATAATAATGATGATAATCATGATAATGACGATAATGATAATAATCATAAGAATAATGACGGTTATTATAATAATAATGATAATAATTATTATCCAGTCCATTTATAGTGAAATGAAGGATAAAAGTAATAAAATTCCACAGTCGAAAAAATGGCTAAATCTAGCAAGAAACGTCGAAAATTATTACCATTACTTTCATTATTCTTACGATTATTATCCTTATAGATATTATCATCATGATTATCATTATTGCAGTTATAATGATTATTATGCTAATTATTATAGCTATTTTCATCATCATAACTTTTTCAGGATGATAATAGCAATAATGATAATTTTAGAAATAATAATGACAATAGTAATAATTATAATGAACAAGGATAATGATGTTTTTCTTATTTCTATTGTCATTATTAGTCTGAAAATATTTGAATAGAGTTTATTTTTATTGCAGTAATTATCAAAATTATGATTACAATTATGATTTTGTCATTATCATTACTATTGTCATTATCATTGTCATTATCATCATAATTATCATCATTATTGCATATAATGAAGGAATTATCATGAAAATCATCACAATTACCAGAATTAATGTTAAATTCTCATGATTACCAATAAAAAGCGGAAAGGTTTTTTTTCGACGTTTCTCTCAAAAGAACTGTAATAGGCAAGATTTTGCCGTTTTTCGACTTCTGGGATTTTATTACTTTTGGCCTTTATTTCATTTATAAATGGACTGGATAATAATTATTATCATCATTATTATCAATACTGTCATTATTCTTATGATTATTATTAGTAATTATCATGATTATCATCATTATTGCAGTTATAATGATTATTATGCTAAATTATTATAGCTATTTTCATCATCATAACTATTTTCTATAATGATAATAGCAATAATGATAATTTAGAAATAACAATAACAATAGTAATAATTATAATGACAATGATAATGATGTTACTAATATTTCTATTGTCATTACTAGTCTGAGTATTATTGGAATAGAGTTGCTTATTGCAATTATTGCAGTAATTATGAAAATTATCATTATAATTATGATTTTATCATTATTATTTTAGAAATAATAATGACAAATAGTAATAATTATAATGACAAGGATAATGATGTTTTTCTTATTTCTATTGTCATTATAAGTCTGAAAATATTTGAATAGAGTTTTATTTTTGCTATTATTGCAGTAATTATCAAAATTATGATTACAATTATGATTTTGTCATTATCATTACTATTGTCATTATCATTATCAATATCATCATAATTATGATCATTATTGCATATAATGAAGGAATTATCATGAAAATCATTAATATTACCTGAATTAATGTTATACCCCTCATAATTACCAATAAAGAGCGAAAAAAGGTTTTTTTTTCGACGTTTCTCTCAAAAGGCTAGATTTAGCCGTTATTTTCGACTTTTGGGATTTTATTTTCTTTTGGTCTTTATTTCATTATAAATGGAATGGATAATAATTATTATCCTCAGTCATTATTCATATGATTATTATCGTTATAGTCATTATCATCATGATTATCATCATTATTATCATTATTGCAGTTGTAATGATTATTATGCTAATTATTATAGCTATTTTCATTATAACTATTTTTATAATGATAATAGCAATAATGATAATTTTAGAAATGATAATGACAATAGTAATAATTATAATGACAATGATAATGATATTATTTCTATTGTCATTATTAGTCTGAAAATTATTGGAGTTGATTATTGCTATTATTGCAGTAATTATCCAAATGATCATTATAATTATGATTTTTCGTTATCATTATTTTTGTCATTATCAATGTCATTATCATCATAATTATCATTATTATTGCATATGATGAAGGAATTATCATGAAAATCATCACAATTACCTGAATTAATGTTAAAATCCTAATATTACCAATAAAAAAAGCGAAATAGGTTTTTTTTCGACGTTTCTCTCAAAATGCTGTAATACGCTAGATTTTGCCGTTATTTCGACTTCTGGGATTTTATTAGTTTTGGTCTTTATTTCATTATAAAATGGACTGGATAATAATTTTTATCATTATTATTATCATTACTGTCATTATTCTTATGAATATTATCATTATAGTTATTATCATCATGATTATCATACGTAAATCTAGTGTATTACAGCCTTATGAGAGAAAGGTTGAAAAAAAACTTTTTCACTTTTAAATAATTATGATGATTTTAACATTACTTCAGGTAATTATTATGATTTTCATGATAATTCCTTTATTATTAAGAATAATGATGATAATTATGATGATAATGATAATGATAATAATGATAATAATAATAATAAAATAATAATTATAATGATAATTTTGATAATTACTGCAATAATAGCAATAATTAACTCTATTCTAATAATTTTCATACTAACAATGACAATAGAAATAATGATATCATTATTATTTTTTATGAAAATGCATATTATTGTCATTATTATTTCTAAAATTATCTTTATCGTTATTATGATTATAAAATGGTTATAATTATGAAAATTACGGGTAATAATAATCATTATAACTGCAATAATGATCATGATAATAATGATAATCATGACGATAATGACTATAATGATGATAACTTTAAGAAGAATAACAATAATGATGATAATGATGATAATAATCATTGAGTTCCATTATAATTAAATAAAGGCTAAAACTAATAAAATCCCTAAAGTCGAAAAAACGGCAAAATAGAAATAATACTCATATCATTATTATTGTTATTATAATGAGTATTATTGTCATTATTGTTTCGAAAATTATCATTATTCTTATTATCAATATAAAAATAGTTATAATGATGAAAATGACAGTAATAATTAGCATAATAATCATTATAACTGCAATAATGATAATGATGATAATGATAATCATGACGATAATAACTATAATGATGATAATCATGACCATAATGACTATAATGATGATAGAAGAATCAGAATAAGATTTTTTTCTCTCACTTTCGCTTTAAAAGAAAAGTCTCAATTTCCGGATAAAGTTCCTTCACTTTCACTTAAAGAAAATGATCTTAGTTCCCGGATCTCTGGTAGGGAAGGGGTGGAACCACGGGGATGATCCCCCCCTGGGGTTTGTACCCCCTTGTCGGCCACGAAGGAGATCTCGACGGGGACGCCCTCGGGGGATTCGTATCTGCGGGGAAGGGGTTTCATTTAGGATGCTGAATCCTTCGTAACCTGCTGATTTCGTCAACTGTTTGCTTTCGCAGAGTTTTGTGGTAAATTGCTGGTGTACTTACGAGAAACGTAGATAGACACAAAGGTAGAAAGATAATAGAGAGATGAATAGACAATTATATTCATATACAGAGTGTCGAGGCCCGATGCTCACCTCCAGCCTCCCTGCTTCGCCTGTCCGTCGCTCTCCTTCCCGGACTCCTGCCGGACGATGCCGTTGCCGGACTCGAAGTCGAAGGAGTAGCCACCGTAGGCGTCCTGCGTCCGGTCGTCCTTCAGGATGGGGCTGGGCGCGGAGTAAGGACTCTCGGCCGCCTCCGAGACGAGGACGGACAGCAGCAGAAGGCCGGCCTGTGCGGGATGGGACATGGTACTTGTTTAGTGTGGGATTTCATATTATAAAGACTGGGTAAAGGAATCAAGGAAATAGGTATTAAACACAGTAACAGAAAGGCGCAAGGGCGAGAAATACAGAATGCTAATGATATCAAAACAATAATGGTAATGGATATACTAATTATATGAAAATATTAGTAAGAAAGGAAAGGCAAATCACCCCCCCCCCCCAAAAAAAAAAGCCTATAGTATTCCAAAATTGTAGGCCACAGAAAAAAAAATAATAGAAAGGGTAATGACAATGAAAATGGTTATTGTGTTGAAATACGGAAACTATATAATCCTTTACATATAAAGCCGAAAACAATACAACCTGAAGCAAACGCTGCTAATAAAGGAAAGCACTTGAATGTGTTTTTTTTTTTTTTTTTTTTTTTTGTACAGCACACACACACACACACACGTTCATAAACACAATATATTTCAATGGCCACATACCGTCTTGTCTCGGTAATATCTTAAAGAATCATAAAAAGGAAACTAACAACGGGGACCCATACACACAAGAAAAGTTTTATATATATATATATATATATATATATATATATATATATATATATATATATATATATATATTAACCACACACACAGTATCATTATCGGGGTTCTGTTTTAACTCTAGCGTATTACAGCCTTTTGAGAGAAAGGTCGAAAAAAAACCTTTTCACTTTTTAAAGGATAATTATGATGATTTTAACATTAATTCAGGTAATTATAATGATTTTCATGATAATTTCTTTATTATTAACAATAATGAGGATAATTATGATGATAATGAAAAATAATAATAATGATAATAATAAAATAATAATTATACTCATAATTTTGATAATTACTGCAATAATAGCAATAATTAACTCTATTCTAATAATTTCATACTAATAATGACAATAGCAATAATAATAACATCATTATTAATGTTATTATAATGAGAATTATTGTCATTATTATTACTAAAATTATCGGTATTGTATTATCATTATAAAATAGCTATAATGATGAAAATGACAGTAACAATTAGCACTATAACTGCAATAATGATAATGATAATAATGACTATAATGATGATAATCATAAGAATAATGATAATAATAATAATAGAGTCAATTTATAATGAAATAAAGGCTAAAACTAATAAAATCCAAAAGTCGAAAAAACGGCAAAAATCTAGCGTATTATTATTATATTATAATGAGTATTAAGAGTATTATTATTGCCTTTTGAGAGAAAGGTCGAAAAAAAAGCTTTTTCTTAAATGACAATTATGATTTTAACACTAATTCTGGTAATTATGATGATTTTCATGATAATTCCTTTATTATTAACATAATGATGATAATGACAATAATGATAATGATAATAATAATAAAATGATATTTATAATGATAATAATAATAGCAATAATTAACTCTATTCTAATAATTTTTTATACTAATTATGACAATAGAAGTAATAATAATAATAGTAGTATTATCATTATAATGAGTACTATTCTCCTTTTTCTTTCTAAAATTATCATTATTGTTATTTTCATTTATACGAATAGTTATGATGATGAAATGACAGTAATAATTAGCATAATAATTATTATAACTGCAATAATGATAATGATAATAATGTTAATCATTACGAAAATGACAATAATGATGACGATAATGACTATTATGACTATAATGATAACGATAATGACTATATAATAATGATAATCATAAGAATAATGACAATAATGATGATAATGAGATACTAATAATCATAGAGTCCATTTATTATGAAATAAATGCTAAAACTAATAAAATCCCAGAAGTCGAAAATATGGCAAAATCTAGGGTATTACAGCCTTTGAGAGAAAGGTCGAAAAAAAAACTTTTTCGCTTTTACATGATAATTATGATGATTTTAAAATTAATTTAAGTAATTATGATGATTTTCATGATAATTCCTTTATTATTAACAATAATGATGATAATTATGATGACACTATGATAATGATAATAATAATAAAATGATAATTATAATGATAATTTTGATAATTATTGCAATAATAGGAATAATTAACTCTATTCTAAGAATTTTCATACTAATAATGACAATATAAATAATAATAATTTCATTATTATTGTTATTATCATGAGTATTATTGTCATTATTATTTTTAAAAATTATCATTATTGTTATCATCAATATAAAAAAGATATAATGATGAAAATAACAGTAATGATTAGCATGATAATCATTATAACTGCAATAATGCTAATGATAATAATGATAATCATGACGATAATGATATAATGATGATGATCATAAGAATATGACAATAATGATGATAATGATAATAATAATCATAGAGTCCATTTATATTGAAATAAAGGATAAAACTAATAAAATCCCATAATCTAAAAAAAAAGCAAAATCTAGCGTATTTAAGAGAGAAGGTCGAAAAAAAAAACTTTTCACTTTTAAATGATAATCATAATGATTTAATATTAATTCAGGTAATTATGATGATCTTCATGATAATTCCCTTATTATTAACAATAATGAGGATAATTAATGATGATAATTACAATAATAATGATGATATAATAAAATTATAAATATAATGATAAGTTTGATCATTACTGCAATAATAGCAATAATTAACTCTATTCTAATAATTTTCATACTAATAATGGCAAAGAAATAATAATAATATCATTTATATTGTCAATATAATGAGTATTATTGTCAATATTATTTCTAAAATTATCATTATTTTTATCATTATAAAAGATAGTTATAATGATAAAAAATGACAGTAACAATTAGCACTAAACTGCAATAATGATAATGATAAAAATGATAATCATGACGATAATGACTATAATGATAATCATAAGAATAATGACAATAATGATAATTATGATAATAATAATCACCGAATCAATTTATGATGAAATAAAGGCTAAAGCTAATAAAATCACAAAAGTCGAAAAACGGCAAAATCTAGACTTTGAAGAGAAGGTCGAAAAAACCTTTTTCGCTTTTAAATGATAATTATAATGATTTTAACATTAATTCAGGTAATTATGATGATTTTCATGATAATTCCTTTATTATTAACAATAATGATGATAATTATGATGATAATGACAATAATGATAATGATAATAATAATAAAATGATAATTATAATGATGATTTTGATAATTACTGCAATAATAGCAATAATTAACTCTATTCTAATAATTTTTCATACTGATAATTACAATAGAAATATTAATAATATCATTGTTATTGTTATTATAATTAGTATTATTGAAATTATTATTTCTAAAATTATCATTATTATATTATCATTATAAAATAGTTATAATGATGAAAATAACAGTAATAATTAGCATCATAAATGCAATAATGATAATGATAATAATGATAATCATGACGATAATGACTATAATGATGATATCATAAGAATAATGATAATGATGATATCAATAATCATAGTCCATTTATAATGAAATAAAGGCTAAACTAATAAAATCCTAAAAGTCGAAAAATTGGCAAAATATAGCCTATTACAGGTTTTTGAGAGTTAGGTCGAAAGAAAACTTTTTTCGCTTTTAAATGATAATTACGATGTTTTTAACATTAATTCAGGTAATTATGATGATTTTCATGATAATTTCTTTATTATTAACAATAATTATGATAGTTATGATGATAATGGCAATAATAATAATGATAATAATAATAAATGATAATTATGATAATAATTTTGATAATTACTTACAATAATAGCAATAATTAACTCTATTCTAATAATTTTCATACTAATAATGACAATAAAAATAATTATTATATCATTATAATTGTTATTATAATGAGTGTTTATTGTCATTATTATTTCTAAAATTATCATTTTTTATCATTATAAAAATATTAAATGACAGTAATAATTACCATAATAATCATATCAACTGCAATAATGATAATGATAAAGATAATCATGACGATAATGGCTATAATGATGATAATCATGAGAATAATGACAATAATAATGATAAATATGATAATAATAATAATAGAGTTCATTTATAATGAAATAAAGGCTAAAACTAATAAAATCCCAGAAGTCGAAAAAAACGGCAAAATCTAGGGCATTACAGCTATTTGAGAGAAAGGTCGAAAAAAAAAACATTTTTCACTTTTAAAGGATAATTATGATGATTTTCATGATAATTCCTTTATTATTAACAATAATGAGAATAGTTATGATAATAACAATAATAATGATGACAACAATAATAAAATGAAAATTATAATAATACTTTTGATAATTACTGCAATAATTGCAATAATCAACTCTATTCTAATAATTTTCATACTAATAATGACAATAGAACTAATAATATCATTACTATTGGTATTATAATGAGCATTATTGTCACTATTAATTCTAAAATTATCATTATTGTTTTTATTATTATAAAAATAAAAAATAGTTCATTTAATGTATGAAATTAATATATCCTCACGATAATGACTATAATTATATAATCATCACGATAATGACAATAATGATAATAATCATAAAAATAATGAAAATAATGATGATAATGATAATAATAATCATAGAGTCCATTTATAATGAAATATAGGCTAAAACTAATAAAATCCGAAAAGTAGAAAAAACAATGATTAACAATGATGATGAAAATTATGATGATAATGACAATAATGATAATAATAATAATAAAAGATAATTATAATGATAATTTTGATAATTACTGCAATAATAGCAATAACTACTCTATTCTAATAATTTTCATACTAATAATGACAATAGAAATAATAATATCATTATTATTTTTATTATAATGACTATTATTGTCATTTTTTTCTAAAATTATCATTATTGTTATTATCATTATAAAAATAGTTATAATGATGAAAATGACGGTAACAATTAGCATAATA